CTGGGGGTTACCATTCTAAAATTTTCCCGCAATAGTTAGTAATGTGGTTAAGTTCGAATTGAAATGGTTAAGTTTTTGGTGGGGACATGGTATTAGTTCAATTGCACCCAGCAGCATGCGATCAGCTGTTTTTCTCACTTGCAAGTTCTTACTAGTAAAAATTTATCCAGTAAAAACTACCAACTTCTACTCAAAATTAAATGTCAATTTGCGCTCTCAATTTCCCCTTTCTTACAAGCTTTTTGGGTACAAGAACACCTAATAGGGCATTCGCATGCGGCGATTTTACAGGCAACAAAAGCTGAATACGAAGTTGAATGCGAAGTTGAAAGTGAAAAAGTTGCCATCCCTATTCAGACGATGCGATTTTCGATTCAACACGAATCGTTATTTACATTATTGAAAATGAATTTAAATCGCAAAATTTTATCAATTGACGTAAATTTGTTAAGCTAAGCGTTGGTAGAAGTGCTTTTAGCGAAGCTGAAAGATAAAATAAGAGTAAAAAAGTGAAAAAAAGTATGTATCTCTGTATATCCAGTAAACAAACTTAGCTATTCTTTTTTACCAAGTTTGGTCCCCATAAAGGACTAGTGTTGCAAGCAACGCTTTTTCGGCAATTAGGGTGTTGTGCAGCTATTTAATGTGCAGAAATCATTTAAGCACTGGAGAGATTTATTCACATGGAATTGGAGATAGGGCTGATAGATTTATTTTAAATAAATTGTGGGCTGCAATTTAGTTTGGCATCCCCGGAGTTCCGCATTAAGGTAGCTATGGAACGATAGAGGGAGTTCTCCTGATTGCAAATATATATAGTTTTAGCCGCAGCAGGCTTCTAGTTTTTAAGTTATTTGTTGTTAAAGTTTGTCAATTGAACTAACCTCTCGGCGCTATTTCACACAATAAACACTTTATTTATGTGCACACTTCGGCAAAATAGTTGCATTAAAACCCCGGCCTGCGATTTCCACTTTAATATACAATTCTTAATTAATTAATTAAGTAAAACGCGTTTATAAATGTCTTCACAAACGTTTGCACATTTCACAAACAAGCAGAAATAACAATGGCTGACAGTAACACAAAATGTATGCTACCATACGTTAAAAAAATACACAAATAAGTGCGTATAATTAGGAAGTATAAGTGTACATATATTGCTCTTATTAAAAATAATAATATTAGGATCGATAGGGGTCTTACTCCTGATCATAACGGTATTATTTTTTTCGGGTGGAAATAATATTTACTGGTGTTATTGTAGTTCAAATAACACAAATGTAGAAAACGTACATCGTTAATTTGATAAATAATGAAAATTTTTAATAAAAAATCGCGCGATTTTTTATTA